CCTAATGGGGCGTTCTGCACTCAGGAACATGTATCTGCTTGTGCTGCACAGGCAGGAAAACACTTAAAGCACTTTGAGACGTGGCAGTGGCGAAACCCTTCATTACCCCGGAGGCTTTGCTCCACTCAGTGTCCCTTGGCCCTGCATCGCTCCTGCTCTGCCCACACTGGCTGGGACCTGAGCTTGGGGCAGCCCCTGGTTTGCAGCACTGTGAGCAGGGGGAGAACCCCGGGGACACAGAAACAAGGGGATTAAGGATTTCAATTTATCTGAGATGTCTCCACTTACTTCTTGGAGTTTTTCAAGATTTAAAAATAAAAACAAATCTGCAGTTTGAAAATGAGGCCGGAACGTTTGTCTTTCCTCCTTGCTGCACAAAGCTCCAATGTGCCATATGCAAAATGATTTGGAAGCAGCAGGAAGCCTGGGAGCTGCTGGCCTCCAGCCCAGCTCTGTGGGTGAGACCTGGGGAGGCAGCTGATGGGTTCTGGGGGTGCAGAGGGTCAGGCTGGAACCCTGACCAGTGCTGCAAGGGGCAGCTGCCCCCCAGCAGTGCAGGATCAAGCCCATCAGGATCTGTGTTTTTGAGCTGTGGGTTCTGCCTGCAGCACAGGGGCTCACGGGCTGTGGTGGGCTACCTGCACCTCGGGGAGGGGGCAGCCCTGTCCTCACACTCTGCCCCCCCCCAAGAAGCTTTGGGAGCTTCATCCTTTTTTGCACCTCTGACGGGCCTGTCCCTTCGCCCCAGCTATGACCGAGGGGCCACAGTGGCCGGCGTGGTGGGCGTCGGGCGGCTGATCACGGGCATGGACCGGGGGCTGCAGGGCATGTGCGTGAACGAGCGGCGTCACCTCATCGTGCCACCCCACCTGGGCTACGGCAGCATCGGCGTGGGTAAGGGGCCATGGCATGGGGCAACCCCCCCTGGGGCCGGTGTCATGAGGGACAGGGCTCTAGTGCCCACCTGGCAACTCCACGGCCAGGGCAAGTGGTGCTGAAGTAGGGGGGTCCTGCCCCCAGCCTGGGCTCTGCTGCTTTCCCAGGGGCTGAGATGGGTCTCCAGCAGCCCTGAGCAGTGGTGGGCTCGGGAGGGCTTCAGGGGGCAGAGCCTGGGCTTGGTGCTGGTCTCACCTAAGGTGCTCTGTCCTCACTGCCATCTCTTTAGCGGGGCTGATCCCCCCAGACGCCACCCTGTACTTTGACGTGGTCATGCTGGACATCTGGAACAAGAACGACAAGCTGCAGGTCACCACCGTGTCCAAACCCGAGCGCTGCAACCGCACGGTGGAGAACTCGGACTTCGTGCGGTACCACTACAACGGCACCCTGCTGGACGGGACCCCCTTCGACTCCAGGTACGGGGCACTGCCCCTGGCCTTGGGGCACGGGGCACTCCCTGCTCTGCTGGTGCAGCTCCATGGCCCTCAGACCAGCCTCTGGCATGGCCCCACTCCGGCTGGGGGTGCTGGTGTGGCCCTGGAGCCGTCCCCACCCTCATTTCCCCCACCAGCTACAGCAAGGGCAGCACCTACGACACCTACGTGGGCACTGGGTGGCTGATCAAGGGAATGGACCAGGGGCTGCTGGGCATGTGCGCCGGGGAGAAGAGGAGCATCATCATCCCCCCATTCCTGGCCTATGGGGAGAAGGGCTATGGTGAGCTGGGTACCACCCCTTCATACCGGCCCCTTCCCTCCCAGCCCTGCCCAGAGGCCCTGCGGTGCAGCAGGACCCTCGTCTGGGCTGAGCCATGTCCCCTCCCCAGGGACCGTGATCCCACCGCAGGCATCGCTGGTGTTCAGCGTGCTGCTGGTGGACTTCCACAACCCCAAGGACGGCGTCTTCCTGGAGCACCTGGAGGTGCCGCAGCCCTGCAAGCGCCGGGCTGTGACCGGGGACTTCGTGCGGTACCACTACAACGGGACACTCATGGACGGGACACTCTTTGACTCCAGGTGTGGGGAGAGCCCCTGATGTCCCCTCCTGCCCCACGGCTGCAGGGAGAGCCTGGAGAACTGGCGGGGAGGAGAGGGTGGTAACGGGCATGAAACAGGCTAAAAAGGATAACACCTGTTTGCTGCATCCCTAGGAATAAGGTTTGCTCCTGTGGGAGCAGGAGAGGCTGGGGGAAGGGGTGCGGGTTGGGGTGCAGGGGTTGGGGGGGATTGATGGCACCGGGGGCTTCTCTTGCTGCAGCTACTCCCGCAATCAAACCTACAACACCTACATCGGGAAGGGCTACATCATCCCCGGCATGGATCAGGGCCTGCAGGGGGTCTGCGTGGGAGAGCAGCGGCGGGTGGTCGTCCCCCCACACCTGGCCTATGGGGAGAACGGTGCAGGTAAATGTGCAGAGCCCGGGCTCTGAGGGACAGGCACGTCACAGGTCATGGGAAGAAGCAGGGAAGGGCTTTACCAGCCTTACAGCACTCCAGCAGCTCTCTCAGCAGCTCTCCTCATCCTCCTCTTCCAGGGGACAAAATTCCCGGCTCGGCCGTGCTCATCTTTGATGTCCACGTCATCGACTTCCACAACCCCGCAGACCCCGTGGAGATCGAGACCGTGTTCCGGCCCGAGGGCTGCAACGTCACCACCCGCGACCGGGACTTCGTGCGCTACCACTACAACTGCTCCCTGCTGGACGGCACCCGGCTCTTCTCCTCGTGCGTGCCCCGAGCTCCCCTGTCCTTCCTGGGGCTCAATCCTGGCCGGCGCTGAGCTGGGGCGGGCGGGCACCGGGAGCATCTGCTCTGCCGTGGGCAGCACCGGGGCATCGGCCACGGGGCACCAGGGAGGAGGGTGCAAGGTTTGGGGGCCACAGTGGGGTGGACGTGGGGGTGACATGGAGAGCGGGGAACTTTATGGCATGGATGTGGGATTTTAGGGCACGGCGGGATGGAGGGGTTGGGATTTCAGGGTTCCCTACTGGATCCAAGGGGGTTTCTCACCTGCACTGTCTTCTCTGTGCCTCCTGCAGCCACGACTACGAGAAGCCCCAGGAGGTAACCCTGGGGGCCAACAAGGTGATCGAGGGGCTGAACAGGGGCCTCCTGGAGATGTGTGTGGGGGAGAGGCGGGTGCTCATCATCCCCCCCCACCTGGGCCACGGGGAGAGTGGAGGTAAGGGAGTGGCGACCGATGTGGGCGACACAAACTGAGGGGTTCAGCCTTGCTGAGCCCCTTCAGGGCCCCGTCCCCCCTCACCTTGCTGAGGCTGGGGGATCATGGCCGGGGCTTTGCTGTGCTCCCCATGGTACTGGAGCCTCCTCTGTGTTTCCAGCCCGGGGGGTGCCCGGCAGTGCCGTGCTGCGCTTCGAGGTGGAGCTGATCTCCATGGAGGAGGGGGTTCCTGAGGGTTACCTCTTCATCTGGCACGGGGATCCGCCGGCCAACCTCTACGAGCAGATGGACCTCAACAAGGACGGGGAGATCCCCGCTGAGGAGGTGAGTGGGCCCAGGGCACCGAGGGACCCCAGGCTGGTGCTCTGGTCCCTGCTGTCCTTGGCATTGTGGTCTCCCTGCCCTGCCTGGTGCCTGGCTGTGCAGATCCAAGCAGCATCTCTCCCCTCTCCCCTCTCCAGTTCTCCACCTTCATCAAGACCCAGGTGGCAGAGGGGAAAGGCCGCCTCATGCCCAGCTCTGACCCAGAAAAAGTCATCGCCGACATGTTCCAGAACCAGGACCGCAACCAGGATGGGAAGATCACGCCCGAGGAGCTGAAGCTGAAGTCAGACGAGGACCAGGAGAAGATTCATGAGGAGCTCTGAGGAGCAGACCCTGCTGTTCCTGGAGACAGGACTCATCCTGGCCGTGCCATGGCCGGTCTCCCATCTCAGCTGCCCAGGGAATCTGCCCCTGCCCCTCCCCAGCCCTGCAGGGGGGCAGATTTTGATTTTCCCCCCTTTCTATTTAACTGAGGGTATTTTGATGTGTTCCTCCTGGGCAGGAAAACTTAACTCCCAACTAATAAACCCAGGCAAGAAGGTGTCCCCTCCCCCAACCCCTTTGTCCTCCACCAGTGACTGCAGGTCTCACTCAAGCCCCCTTGCCCACAAGTGCTGCCTTGGGGGGCAGGAGGGATGTGGGGGGGCTTCCCCTCACCTCCACCCCAGCATTTTGTGGTTTAGGGTTGGGGGTGGGGTTTTTTTTATACATACACTTAAAATTCTGTAGAGAGAAAAATTAGAGAAGATTTTTGTCCCAGTCCCTGCTCTGTCCTCGCTGCCTCCTCCCGGGACAAGAAGCTGGAAGGGGCTCAGGTTCCCAGGGTGAAACACCGATACCCCCCAGGCATCTGCCATTCCAAACGTCTGAGCCTCCCAAAACTCCAGGGATGAGACCTGGCAAACCCCTCATGAGCTGGGAGAAGGGGAACAGATCCCCTCTTCCTCCAGGCCCTCAGGGAGCAGCATCATCCCCCTCCACATCCTCCCTAACCCCTAGCCCTCAGTGACTGAGACAAATCAGCCCAATTTTGTTTCAATGCCTAAGTGCAGGTCGTGACCTCGGGGTGCTCAGGTTCTCCAGCTGGGACCAGCAGGGCTCCCAAAACCTCTGCACGTTCTGTCCTGCAGACAGGGATAGAAGAAATGCAGGAACCCAGCAGTGCAGAGGGCAGAGCGACCCCCTCAAATGGTGAATCTACCTTGCACCAAATAAATAATTCCTCCTGGCTCCCAAGGAGTTTGCCTGTGTCGGGTTACTTTGCCATGAAACATTCCTGCATGTTGGGGCAGTGGTGCAGGGACCAGCCTTGGCAGTGCCCAGGGGGGTTCCAGGCTCCAGCACCTGCTGGGTCCAGTAGGAGAAACCAAAATCCTCTCCTGGGATTCTCCAGCAAAGCTGCTGGAGCTGCAGCTCCAGCGCCCAGTGAGGGCTGGGGGGCTCTGGTGGGATGGAGGGACCCGGAGCTGGGGAGCAGAGGCAGCTGCCAGCACCAGCCCTGAGAGCAGAGCGGCTCCAGCCCCTCGGCACCGGGTACAAACCACCTGTGGCCCAGCTTTAGCCAATAACATCTTTATTCCAACACGGAGAACAGAGTCGGCACTTCTCGAAGTCCCACATAACCACAGGGGAGACAGAAACAACAAGGGTTTTTCCTATTGCTGCTCCGAGACCCTGGGATCAGCCTGGGATCAGCCTAGGGTCAGCCCAGAAGTTCAGGACAGAAACACAGACAGTTAAAACGTTCCTTAAAACCCAAAATGCTGCTGCTGGCCTCTCCTCTCCCACCCCACCCAAACCCCAGCCCCAACCCTGGCAGAGAAACTTACTTCTGGGTTTGGGCAGCAGCAGCAGCCGAGTTCTGGGGCCTTCAGGGACGGCTGGAAAAGCTTTGTGTCCACAGTAAGAATTGTACTGGTGCAAGAGGGATGGGGTGGGACCCGAGGCCAGGGAGCTGCAGGTTTCCATGGGGGATGTGGGGCTGGGCAATGCAATGCCTGGCAGGGCCACACCAGCCCAGTGGTGGCACCAGGGCTCAGAAACAGGAAAACAGGACGAGAGAGATTTGTTTTCTTAGTGAGGAACACAGTGACTCTAAAACTTCATTTAAGCCGGGTCTGTCCTCAGCCCACAGCAAACCATCTCCACTCCACACTCAGCTGCTGAAGCAGGTGCAGAACATCTCTTCTGAAACATGGAACGGTTTGTTGTGGCCTTGGGAAGGGAGGTAGAGGGCATGAATTCCCAGTGGGATGAAGTCCAAGTTGGATGAAGCCAGTCCAAGAAGGAAGCAGCAGAGCCAGGCAGTTGGGGTAAAGGGAATGGAGAAGATCCCTTCATCTCTTCTCTCCCGCTCCAGGGCCGAGGGCATTAGTGAGGTCAGGACGGAGCCCAGCCAGTACCAGCAGATCCCCTCCAGCTCTGTCCCGGGGAGGATGTTCCCTGCCCAGTGCCTGCTGCGGGGCCAAGGCTGGGATGCCTCTTCCCAGCTCATGTCTCAGTAAGGATGTACCGGAGAATCCCATTGACCACGTCCAGCGTCTCGTCGCTCTCCAGCACGATGTCATAGGCTTCCAAATACTTCCCTCTCCGCTCTTCCACCTACAACATGGTCATCAGAACAAGGTGGGGAGGGCGAGAAGACTCTGAACACCAACAGCTGAGGGTGGAGATACTGCACCCACAGCCCTCGCTACTGGAAAGGGGATCAATAACCACCCTGACAATGCCCCAGACGCAGCAGGAGCTCAGTACACCCCCACATCACTGCCCCTCCCTGCTGCCCCAAAGCTTGGCACCTGGGGAAGGCTGGCAGGGAAACACAGCACTGCTCCTCACACCCACCTTGTCATTGAGAAAGCCAATCTTGAGGATATTCTCCACGCTGGGAATGCCGTCTGCCATCGTCAGGTCACCCATGGAGTCCCCGAGCAGGATGATGTTCGTCCTCGTGCTCAGCTGCTGGAAGTAATCTGTGCCCTGCAGCACGGTGTTGTTCTTGTTGTAGGTGTGGATGAGGGGTGCCTTGAAGTGCGTGAGGACTCCCTGAGCACACAGGACAGACAGACAGCTCTTAACCCGGTGGTGGCGCTGTTAATTGTGTCCCAGCCCTCGGTCCCAGCCCACACCTTTCCCCTCACCACACCAGTGAGGTGCAGAAACTCACTTCATCATCAAAGTCCATGTAGTTGGACACCACGTTGACGTTGGAGTAGAAGACGCTGGCCTGGCGGATAATCTCCTCAAGGACGTCACCGACACCAGCAGAGAAGATGAACAGGGGGACATTGTTCTTGTGCAGCTGATCAAAGAATTCCTTGAAGCCATCCCTAAAGCAGGAGTGTCCATTGCATGGGGTTGTGTTACCAGCTCCCAGCACAGTGCTCGGTGTTCTGGGCTGGCAGCGTGCCCAGCCCAGCTCCCATTTCTGCCCAGCACTTCCCAAACAGAAACACACAGGTGGGCTCTGCAAACAGCACCAGCTCTCTGTGGCACCAGCGTTCCTGTGGCATTCCCCGTGCAGAACCCCGGAGAGCTCTGGGTGCAGTGGTTGGGCGGGTGCTCACGGGAACATGGAGCACTCCAGCCCTTTGCCTGGCACCTCCTGATCACACCCCCTGCTCAGCGGGGGCACAGGGCACTGCCAGGAACCACGTGGGAGATGTGCAACAGGTCGGACTGGTTGGGAGGACGATCAGGCCAACCTGTGACAGCCTCAGTCTGCCAGGACACAATTCCATGCAGAAGGGGAACTTGGGCTCATGAAAACCCAGACATACGTTGCCATCTCCTCCCTGAGCCTGGAGCTCAGTCAAAGCCCAGCTCCCTGAGCCAGCCTTAGGGCCATTGCTGCCAGGGCAGCTGTAGCAGCAAGTTTTAGAGCAAAGTTTTTGTGCTGTGGGTGAAATCTGCTGCTGAGCCAAGGGCCTGGATAAGGCCCAGCAGCTCCAGTGCAGAGAACAAATCTCTGCTGGAAGCAAGGAGCTGCCCCCGCATCCCACCCTGCACATGGAGAGCCGTGCCCAGTGCCGGCCCCTCGGCTGCTCCTCGCCAAGGCCCCCCCCCTAAGGGAGGGGGAAGCGGTTTCTGCACAGGAAGGGAGCAGCCTGCAGCCAGGGAGTGAGCTCAGCGGCACAGAGCGTGGTGACAGCAGAGAAACCTGGCTGCACAGGCAGGAGAGAAGGGCCAAGGGCAGCCAAGCCCTGTGCCTGTACCTCAGCACCACAGCCCCATGTCTGTACCTCAGCACCACAGCCCCATGTCCGTACCTCAGCACCACAGCCCCATGTCCGTACCTCAGCACCACAGCCCCATGTCCATACCTCAGCATCACTTCCGACTCTCCGACAATCTGGGCTATGTCATCTTTGCGGATCTTCTGCTGCACCAGCAGCTCGTGGGCCCTGGTCCACCTGGGGAAAGGCAGCAGTGAGCTCTGGGGCAGAGGCCCTCAGCAGTCAGAATCACAACTAAATCCCCCGGGATCACCACAAAGGCCAGGGACAGCTCAAGCCTTGCGTCCTGCAGTCCTCAGGGACAAGAGGTTGTCAGGACAAGGTCAAGATCATCACGCAGAGCACTCACCACTCCACCATGAGGGGACATTTCTCTTCCAGGGTCCGGTTGGGATCAATCTCAATGGGATAGTAATGGTGCAGCAGGTCCTTCAGCTGGAGTGTCGCACAGAGGGAAAAAGAACAGAGTGAACATCAGGTCTAAACAGACTATAAACAACAAAACCAGCATTTCTGAAGTCTTCCAAAGCATCACGCTTCCTAAACACAACCAAACTGTGTCACTGAGCAGCTTCTCTCTGAGCACACCTGGAGCTCTTGGCAGCCTGGCTGACCCTCACCTCGCTCCAGACACTGCAGGTACAGACACCCCTCCCCTTCCTCCTCTTATCGAGCTGAAACACCCACAGCTGTGCATGCAAATTCAATTTCCCTTTTTAACTTCTCCTCTGTCACTGCTGGCTGAAATGCAGCCTGGACACTTCCCCCTCCAGCCTGGCAGCCAGCACAGCCAGGAGAGTTGCCACGCCAGCCAGTGCGACCTCTTGATGATGGGTGACAGGGTGTCCTACACACAGCACCCACCTTCTTCCTGCCGTCCTCACTGACAACACGGCTGGTATCGAGGATATCTGCAAGGACAACACAATGACAATGGCACAGAGATATTAAAAGCCTTTCTAACAGCAGCTCTCCTGCATCTCAGTGCCGGTTCCTCCCAAAACAAGCTGCGGTGGCACAGCTGTGGGGTCCCAACAGGCACCAAGTGCAGGGCCTGGCTCTGCTGGGAGAGGGGGATGGAGATGGACAGCCCAGGACACGGCTCCTGCAAAGGGCGGTGGGTGGCCAGGACCAGGCAGTGAGGCCCAGAGCTGCATGAGGAGAGGTCAGGTTTGGCAGAGGAGGGGACAGAGGATGACGGGAACCACAGTGATGAAAAACACAAACGCAGAAACCAAACAGAATTAGCGACAGTAAAAACAGCGGCTTCGACTCACTGTGAGATGTGGGGCAGCGCCTGCCGTTGCACCCAAACCTGCTCAGCGTCATGTCAAAGTCAGAAATTACCTGGAAGAGGGGAGAAAACCACACCTGTGTGTGCCCCACCGCACTCTGCCCCAGCCAGAGCGAGCCAAGGTGCTGCCAGGGCGCACACTACCACCCCGGAGCTGTTATCAGCACCGAATGGCTCCATCCTGTTTGGGCGGAGGAGGGGTTTGGGGACTGGGGTACGGTTAGAGCTTCATAACGGGGAGCCAAAAGGACCATCCGGGGAGAGCCACCAGCCCCGTCCTCTGTCTCCTCTGAGGCTTCTCCCCCCTCCGCCCGCACACCGCGCCGCAGCCGGGGGGGCGAGGAAGGGGCAGCTGAGACAAGGACGGAGCGTGAGCGATGCACCTCCTGCCCCGCCGGGGCCGGTACCTGCAGCTTGGCCACCCCCTGCTCCCGGAGGGTCCGGATGATCCCCCGCACGCGCTCGGGCTGCCGGATCCGGACCGTGGCTTTCTCCAGCTCAGGCACCTGCGGGCAGAGCAGAGCAGAGACCCCGCTCGGTGCCGCCCTGGTGGGACCGAGGACCTTCCAGCGCCCTCCCGGCCGCGCTCCCCCGCCCAGCCCCGGGGCCGCCGCTGCCCCAGCCCGGGCTCCCGGCCCGCGGATCCCGCTCACCATCGCTCCCGCTCCGCTCCGCTCCCGCCGGGCCGCGCAGCCGCGGGGCGGGGCCGGGGAGGCGGGACCGGAACGTGGCCGCGGGGCCGGGGGAGGATTTCGGGGCGTGTTCGGGGTCGGGGGGTGCCGGGGGACCCTCCCCACGCCCCGGCTGCGCCTCCGCCCGGCGCCCGCAGCAGCGCGGGGCGGGACCGGCGGTTTCGTTTCTGCCGCAACGAGCGGGGAGGGCGGAACAGAAAGGAGAGATTCCAATGAAGGAGCCGCCGGCGGGGCCGTTCGGGCCCACGGGGCGCCCGGCACTGAACCGCCCCGCAGCGCCGGGGACGCGGAGCCGCGGAACCCTGTGCGGGAAATGCCCGCAGAGAACCGTCCCCCAGCACTGCCAAGGCCGCCACTAACCCATGTCCCCAAGAGCCACGCGGCTTTTAAACCTGTACAGGGATGAGGACGCCACCACTGCTGCCCTGGGCAGCTGTGCCAGGGCTGGACAGCCCTTTTGGGGAAAAAAGTTTTCCAATATCCAACCTAAACCTCCCCTGGCACGCCTTGAGTGACAAATCAGGGGCAGCGTGTGCAACTTCAGCACTGACAGGAGCTGGGCTGTGCCTCAGCTTCCTCCTGGGTGAGGTGACACAAGGGACTTCAGCAGCAGTCAGTGCCCACCTTTGGGGACTTTTACACTCTGGCAAAATAATACTGAGGATTATTTATTATTATTTATTAATTATTATTATGCTGAGGGATCACACAGACGATTTTGCTCCAAGCAACCATCAACATGGTGCAGGCCCGGGGTTCAGCATAACCTGGGCTGAGGGGAAGTGAAGGCTGCGGGCTGTAGCAGTAAACCTGCATTATATGGGAAAACTGTGGTTTAAGCATGTTTTAAAATGGCTTTTTTGTGGTTTCTGCTAACTCAGGTTCTTCTTCCCAAGATCCTCCCTGGCCAGTGCTTATCTCTGTTTCAGGAATGTCCTGAGAAGATATCAAGAAGTCTTCTCATTGGACCTTGTTAACCCCTTCCTTATTTGGTTGTTCCCTGCCTGATTGGTGTTTTGTAAGACCCCTTAACTTACATGGTCCCTTTTGACCCTCCCAAGAGCTTTATAAACCCCTAACCACAATAAACTCGCTCTCTCGTCTCCTCTCCACGTCTGGGTGCTGTCTCTCCGGAGCCATGGGACCACGTGGGTGGGGGGAGGGGTGAGCACCTAACCCCTCCATGTGTCCAGGACCCTGAAGAAACCCCTGGAGCTGGAGTAACCCCTTCCCTATCCACCTCAAGCCTTCGGAAATGGAACCCCACAATGGGAGGAATGCACCCAGAGCGGGCAACCAGGGAATGTTGGGCCTGGGTCACCCCTGTGGTTGTGATGTCATCACGGGGCACAATCCAGAGCCAGCGAGTGGGTTCAGGGCTGGATGTTTGCAGGCAACACCAGAGTGCTCCACGTGTGTCAGTGAGGTCCTCTGCCTCCGACTCCAACGTGGGGGATAGCTCAGCAACCACCAGACAGTCATCCTCCAACATGGAGAGGAAGATGAGCGAAAGGAGTTGCAGCATCTCCAACGAGCTCCGCCTGGAAGGGAGATTCTGTGATGTGATCATAAGCGTGGATGGGGTGGAATTCAAGGCTCACAAGCTCATCCTCTCTTGTTGCAGTGTTTACTTCAGGTCAGTACTGGAAACACAAGGATTTATTTACAAGGGCCTGGAGTGACAGGACAAGGGGTAATGGCATCACACTGACAGAGGTTTATATTAGATATTTGGAAAAAATTCCTCCCTGTGAGCCAGGTGAGGCCCTGGCACAGGTTGCCCAGAGAAGCTGTGGTTGCCCCATCCCTGGAAGTGTCCAAGGCCAGGTTGGACGGGGCTTGGAGCAACCTGGTCTAGTGGAAGGTGTCCCTGCTCGTGGCAGGGGTTGGAATGGGATAATCCTTAAGGTCCCCTCCAACCCAGGCCATTTTGTGATTTTATGATTCCTGTGGAAGCATGGGGGCTGTTCGCCCTGGTGCTCCCTGTCCTCAACCACAGGCTGTATCTCCTTTTGCAAACAACAGGCAAGTAAAACATTAATTAATAAACTACGGGGCCTCCCAGCAGGGCTCCTACCAGTGCCTAAATGTTGCCCTGGGAGTTTGGGAAACAGAGGGAATCCAAGAACAGGATTTAATGCAGCAATGCTGTGTTTTCAGGACTCTGTTTACCAACTGGGACAGCGCAAACAAGATGGTCTATCAAATCCCCGGTGTTTCAGCTGAAATGATGGGTCTCATCATCAATTACGCCTACACCGGGACAGTACCGATCACGGAGGACAACGTTGAGAGTTTGCTGGCTGCAGCAGACCAGTTCAATGTCATGGGCATCGTCAACCTGTGCTGCGAGTTCCTCAGTTCCAGGCTGTGCTTCGAGAACTGCATTGGCATCTGCAGACTCACTGACTATTACCACTGCCCCGACCTGCGCGCAGCCGCCTGTGTGTACATCCTGCACCACTTCGAGGAGGTGTCCCAGGTGTCCGAGGAGTTCCTAGACCTCTCTGCTGAGGAGCTGGCACACATCATCGAGAAGGACGAGCTCAACGTGAAGCGAGAAGAAGCCGTGTTTGAGGCTGTGCTGAGGTGGATCGCTCACGACCCGCAGAACAGGAGGCGGTACATCGCCTGCTTGCTGGGCAAGGTGGGTGCAGCACAGCTTTGAAGCTGTCCCCAAAGGCTGCTGAGGGGGAAACCATCAGCATTAGTATTCTAACCTACTCCTTGCATGTTCCAGGTTCGACTAGCACTCCTACAGTCTGACTACTTCATGAACAACGTCAAAGCTCACGAGTACATAAGGGACAATGCTGAGTGCAAAGATCTCATCATCAGTGCCCTGTCAGAAATCTACGACCTGAACTCGTACGGCCAGAGCTCCTCGGCCAACGCCAACCCACTCACCCGGCCGCGCCTGCCCTACGCCATCCTCTTTGCCATCGGGGGCTGGAGCGGGGGCGGCGCCACCAGCGCCATCGAGACCTACGACGGCCGCACCGACAAGTGGCTGAACATCCCCTGGGAGCAAGAGAGCCCTGTTGCCTACCACGGCTCGGCGTATTTGAAAGGCCACGTCTACGTCATCGGCGGATTTGATGGCACGGATTATTTCAACATCGTCAAGCGGTTTGACCCACTCCAGAAGACGTGGCAGCAGGTGGCACCCATGCACTCGCGGCGCTGCTACGTCAGCGTCACCGTCGTGGACAACTTCATCTATGCCATGGGAGGGTTTGATGGGTACATACGGCTCAACACAGCGGAGCGCTACGACCCAGACACCAACCAGTGGACTCTGATCACCCCCATGCACGAGCAGAGGAGCGACGCCAACGCGACCACACTGAATGGAAAGGTAAACGGACGGGGAGAGGATGGAGAGTTGCAACATGAAGAAAGTTCACATAAACCTTCACTGAATTTGTAACAATTCATTAAATCCTGGACCTACAGATATAAAACAGAACCTACGTGGTGTGGCAGAGATGTGACCAGGAGTGTGAAAACTCTTCTGGAGTTGCTGCCCCCCAACAGCCCACCTGGTGCCCGCCAGCCCTTTTCCTGGCCAAAGGTGCAATACCAGGCCTGTCTGCTTCATGCAGCTTGGGAAATTAAGGGTCTAAATCCTGCTGGCTTCAACTCCCTGCAGTGCTGCTACTTCAAACCCAGGATGACATTCTCATTCCCCTCCTAAAACAAAACAAGACATCCCAAAAATCCAGCCACACCATTCATTTTCTCTCCAACAGACTGTCTCACCAATGGCCTAAGTGCCCCCCTCACACTTTCCTCTCTCTCCTGTCCCCAGGTGTACATCTGTGGTGGGTTTGATGGCGATCAGTGCCTCAGCTCAGCTGAAGTGTTTGACCCTGCCACAAACCAGTGGTCCCTGATCGCCCCGATGAGCAGCAGGAGGAGCGGGGTTGGGGTGATGGCATACGGGAACCAGGTGTACGCGGTAAGGGCCAACACCACCCCGCACTGCAGGCCTTTGCATGGCTGCAGTTCCCACAACACCAGGCTGGCCATGTGTTTATGTGAGGTTTAGGGAAGTCAGAACCAGAGCAGTTGATGGACTTACCAAGAATGTTATCACCCATCACACGCTTTTTGGTAAGAAAAAGATGTGAGCAATGTTTAAGCAGCTGCAGCAAACAACTTATCCTCTGTCACTGCCAACAGCATCAGCAGCACACAGCAGGGCTTGGGCCTGTTCATTCGTTGTTTATCTTCTCCATGGATTGCATCCAACCCCTGGAGAACTGTCAAATCTGACAGCTGCACACAGTGCCTTGGGAAGCTCCCGAGGGAGCACACTGGGATAAGCAAGTGCCGTGTTCTGAAATCCCGTGCTCTCCACCATGCTCAGACCACCGCCAGGGAGGCAGGAGCAGCTCCCATCTCACTGGTGCGTGACAGGATCTGGCTGAAAGGGAAGGCCCCTTTTCAGCTCTGTCCCTTTGGCATTCGCAGGTCGGAGGGTTTGATGGGAACAGCCGGCTCCAGACCGTGGAAGCGTATAACCCCGTCGCCAACGCCTGGCACGCCGTGCCCTCCATGCTAAACCCACGCAGCAACTTTGGCATCGAGGTGATGGACGGCCTGTTGTTCGTGGTCGGGGGCTTTAACGGGTTCAGCACCACCGTGGCTGCCGAGTGCTACGAGGAGGACACCAACGAGTGGTACGATGCCCACAGCATGGGCATCACCCGCAGCGCCGTCAGCTGCTGCGTGGTGCCAGGGCTCTCCAACGTCATGGAGTACATCGCCAGGCAACACTACTACCGGCACAACACCTCCATGGACATCTTGTTCAGCACTTCAACTCGGAGCTCGCCGTTGTAAATAGTTCCCCTTAGCTAAGTCTTGTGATCAGCCATCACTGGATGCTCCTGTAAATAGTCCTGCTGAGCTAATAAAGTCTTCTGAGCATCCCACCATTGGATGCCTGTGTAAATAGTTCTCTTTAGCTAATAAAGTCTCTAGAGCAGGAAGGGGAGCA